CTTGGTTTGAAAAACATGTGGCTTTTCTGATCCAGCACCAGGTTTTTGGAGGGGTGGGGCGGAGTGTTTGTCTTTCTTCTTCTCTGTCCTGTAAAAAGGCTTTGGGAGAGTTATTGATGCTTTGGGGGAGTTACTGATGCTTTAAGAGTGGCACTGTTAGGAGGGTGTTACACTTGTCTCGCTTCTGGGCGGTATTGTGCCGTGCTTTGTGGTGAGCGCTCTCATTTGTTGAGAGCTGCCTGTTAAAGTACAGTTGGTGATCAGGAAGGTAGCTTGAAACATAAACAGCAGCACATCAAATGAGCATCATAAGTTCACCGTGGTAACTCAGTACTGAACTGACGATGTACAGAGCTGATTTGACGCGGCAGAGAAAACAGTGGTGGGGGGGGTTCCCTGGGTTTAAGGTTATGCATGACCTCTTCAGAGAAGCAGAAAATTTCAGCATCAAGGCCTGAGGATTTTAAATGTAGGATTTGTTCACAGTGTCAGAGAAAACGTTTCTAATGATAAAGCTGTGGCAAAAGTAACCTCCTCTTTTATAAAGTAAGGTTTCTTCTTATAAAACATGCATTTCCTGAGGTGATGCGAAGCAGTGTTATTGGCTGTCACCACATCAGCAGAAGTGCTTTAAGCAAGGACTTGCAAACTGAACTGTTATGTTTCGTTTATATATTCATTTTGTTTCTCATGCACATTCCAGAACCATTTGCTATAATGAATTCTGTGACTTGCGCTGTATTGCACCAAAGTAAATCCCTCCTGATCACTGTAGTGTTTTACTTGGATGGAAGTCAAACCTACAGAGATTATGGAATAGACCGTGTTATCTTTGCAGCAGATTTTTATAGAGAGACTGTTCAATGAAATGAGCCACTTGATAGCAAGAGACTGGAATGACCAGGAAAAAATATCAATAATAATTATGCCTTATGAACTAATTGACAGTGCTGTTGTGTTCAGCCTTTAATGGTGTGTTTAGATGAGTCCATCGCTGAGGTACATAAATGCTTAAGAAAGGAGCTGCTTAACATGGAGAAAGTGAAGTCCTTTTATTAAAAAACAAAAACTCCACACAGCGAAATAGTGACCACGGTTCAAGTACTCCCTTCCTGCTAGCTTTTGCTATTGATGAGAAGGCACCTCCTGTATGTGTTGCTTGAACATGAGCATGACAGTAACTTCATGATGATTATACAACGTGGCTTGTCTAAATTGCTGCTATCTGGTCTCAGTGTTGGCTTCTGCAGTAATATTGAAAATAGATTATCTGCGTTAGGACTGTTCTTGGTGTTGGTTTCTGAGTCAGGCTGAACCTGAAGGCAGAGCTTTGAATCATCGCTAGCTCATCTGTGTCTGCAGTCTGAGAGATATGGGGGAGGGAGGTGTTCTCTTTAGTGTGTTTTTATTTGTTGTTTTAATCTGCTCATGCATTTTCACCTATTTCAGCTGAGTGAGCAGTAGAACCAAGAGGAATCGGTTTCTGGAGAAGCTGTCTGCTGAGCTGGGCAGGACGAATGGAGCTGAAGCCTTCAGTGGCATCAGCATCAGGCAGAAGTTGCCAGGAGGAGGTGTTTAGGCCCTGTTCTGACAGACTGGTTCCTTACCTGTCCTTGCTGCCTAAGCAACAGATCTTGGGCTAAAGTAAGCAGTTTGGGAGCTGATGCACAATCAGTAACTTGAACTTTTAATTTCTGTTTTCACATCAAAAGGTGAGAACCCCCTTTGATATTGGAACGTTATGCATCCTTTGGAATGGTGGTGTTCCCTTGGTGCAGCCGGGTGTGAGCATATTAATGAAGTGTATGCTCTGTGGAAAATATGGGAAGTTGCGTGTTCTTGAACTGGAAGAGAGCAAAAAGAAAACTTTCAGTCATTGCTCTGCACCAAGCTGTTCCATGGGGTTTGAGACATTCGATGTAGGCTAGTAATGTTCTACTTTTAGCTGTAGAATGAAAAGACTTAGTTTCGCGTTCTATGAATATTGGGATAAGATTTGCTCATGTGCTTACTATCGACAGTTTCTGTTCATTTTTGACCTGTGTTTATTTTGTGTTTGTAGCCAAGTGTAGCCAAAGTTACTGTAGTAGACAGATCCCTTTCTAGTTCCTTAACATAAAAGAATGTTGTTGCCGTTAATTTCCTAGGCATAGGAAATGGCTAGACCTGACTTTCGTGCTGTTGCGCAAGGTGCTGTACTTGCCTAGGTGCATAGGTA